ACGTCTACACAATTCTTTCTGTAGGTCAGCTGATCAGAGGAACCTTTTATCAGTTACATAAGCTGGCCTTTCACCTGCAAAAGCATTTAGCAAATCACTAAATCAAACTATATAGATACATACTGCTACAGGGATGGTGCCAAAAGACACATGGTCACAGTATCATGAATTCTTCAGCTACGTAAAAAGTGTGCTGATTCTAAAAGGGCTAAACACTCTAGCGAAATACCATATAAACACAGTTCCACTCAGATAGAGAATAAAGCTGTTTAAAGTATCTTATATATCTTCATTGCTAGTATTTACAGCACACCAAAATCCAGTATGCCTATGAAGTGATGTAAACATAACCTAAGTCTTTGTAAACATAGATGCATCCTTGCTAAATTGATCCCACCTGACCGAGTCGGACAAATTCTGCTTGCCGAGCTTCTTCTTTTTTCCGTGTTGATTTCGGGGACTCTGGCAACACATCACTGAAAGACCTTCTATTAAGCATGTTCTAAAACAGAAAAAAATGCTTTTGTTTTAAAATTAAATCAGGTTTTCATATTTTTGAATAAAAAATTAGTCAATTTAATACAATACCATTTACATTGTCTGCTTTTCTTTTTATATACTTTCCTGTCATGATGAATCTAACTGTATTGCTTCTCAGAGAACAGTAATCACTATTTTTCAAATCATTGACTTCTTTACTTTCCTACTTGTCATCATTTACCACTTTCATATTATACAATTGCAACAAAGGTTGCAGACATAGAATCATAAAGGTTAGAAAAGACCTCCAAGATCATCTGGTCCAACCATCCTCCTACAACCAATATTACCCATTAAACCATGTTCCTAAGTACCACCTCTAACCTTTTCTTAAACACCCGCAGGCACAGTGACTCCAGAAGCTCCCTGGGCAACCCGTTCAAATGCCTAACCTCTCCTTCTGAGAAGAAATCTCCTAATTTCCAACCTGAACTTTCCCTGGCATAACTTGAGGCCATTCCCTCTCGTCCCTCTTGATCACTAGGTATCTGTGAGAAGAAGCTGACCCCTATCTCCCCAGAACGTCCTTTCAGGTAGTTGTAGAGAGCAGTAAGGTCTCCCCTGAACCTCCTCCAGACTAAACAACCCCAGTTCTCTCAGCTGCTCCTCATAAGACTTGTGTTCCAGACCCTTCACCAGCTTCATAGCCCTTCTCTGGATACACTCCAGGGTCTCAATGTCCTTCATGCAGTGCAGGACCCAAAATTGAACACAGTACTTGTAGTGCAGCCTCACCAGAGAAGAGTACAGGGGGACAAGCACCTCCCTGGTTCTGCTGGCCACACTACACCTGACACAAGCCAGGATGCCATTAGCCTTATTGGCCACCTGGGCACACTTCCAGCTCATGTCCAGGTGAGCACTGACCAACACCCCCAGATCTTTTTCCTCTGTGCAGCTTTCCAACCATTCTGCCCCAAGCCTGTAGCATTGTGTGAGGTTGTTGTGACCAAAGTGCAGGACTTGGCACTTAGCCATATTGAACCTCATCCCATTGGCCTCTGCCCATCAATCCAACCTGTCCAGGTTCCAGGCCTGCAGGGCCTTCCTACCCTCCAGCAGATCAACACTTACCCCCAATTTAGTATCGTCTGCAAACTTACTGAGGGGGCACTCAGTTCCTTTGTCCAAATCATCAACAAATGTATTAAAGAGGATGGGCCCCAACACCAACCCCCGGGGAACATCACTCATGACTGGTTGCCAACTGGATTGCGTGGACACGCATGGACAGTCCTACCCTGAAAGGACAGCCTGTCAATTTTTATGTAACTGTAAAACAAACTATGTCACTATTAGTATTTAGCCTAGTGTACACAATCCAGTGCTCATCAGGATTACAGGCTTTTAAAGCAACAGAACATTCAGTGTCCTAGTGAAAGCAGAAGAGAACATATGAGAGGCACAGAGATCACTTCTGACTTTCTGACTTACATTTACCTTGTGTAGATCAGGCATCAGGTCCTGGTATAAAGAGCGGATCAGCATGTCTAGAGTGCGCTGACGTTTCTGAGAAAATGTTGGGGTTTCCAAGGTGGCTTTTTCACCATTTATTACTAAAATATAATGGAAAAGAAGATACGTTATTTTCATGTGCTTTGCTACTTTCCACTGACTCTATTTTGCCTCTATATAAATATAACCAGTTTTCCCATAGTAACTTAGTTTCATCTCTTTTTGCATTTTTTTTTAGTAAATAACAATCCCTCAACCCTAAAGGGAAATAAAGACTAATAGCAGTATTCTACAAGGCACCCCAATAACCTCCTAATATAAAAATTAAAGACAAACTACTAATCAGTTTAAGTCCTAAACCAATTTAAGTATTTGTTAGTAATGTGTGCAAAATAAGTTACTAGTAAAGTTCCTGTCAGGTAAGTGTGTAATTGTAATCCTTACGATTATGTTAGATGTCTGTTAATGAACTCCCAGTCAGGACAACGAGGCCAATGAAGCCTTACTTCCGCTGCTCAAAGACGTCTCAGGACAACAAAACCTTATCTTCAAGGGTAACTTCAATTACCCGGACACTTGTTGGGAACACAACGCAGCAGTGCACAGATCCTCCACCAGGTTCCTGGAATGCATTAAGGACTGCTTCCTGCTACACATGCTGGACATGCCAAAGGTGAACTAGGTTTACTGCCTGCAAACTGTGAACTTGACAACACAACTACCAATAGTAGCCTTGGATATAGAAATCCTAACACTGAAGTTTAAGAGCCTTTTGAGCACACTGAAGACCAGCTATAGGACAAAGATTCTGGATTTTAGAAGAGCCAAATTCAATATGAAGCATGCAAGGAGGGCAAAGGAGCTTGTGAGCGCTGGGAGTTATTTGAGAACAACGTCCTGGAAGAACAAGAACAGACTATCCCCTACAAAGAGAAAGGATGAAGGCAGAACAGGAGACCACCCTGGCTTAACAATGAGCTTTTGGGTACACATAGGAGCAAAAAAGAATTGTATCATCTATGGAAAAAAGGCTTCAATGAGTACACTGAGGACTACAAGAACCTTGCTAAGACCTATGCAGAGATGCAGGCAGGAAGGCTAAGGCTCAGGTAGAAATGAAATTGGCCCAAAACGTCAAGAACAAGAACGTACTCTTCAGATACACGAGCAACAAGCAGCAGCACAGTGAAGATGTAAGCCCATTGCTGAACAGGGCAAGGATACTAGTTACTAATAGTGCTGAACAGGCAGAGGCTCTCAATACCTTGTTTTCCTCTTTTTTTTTTTTTTTTTTTTTTTTTTTTACCAGTGTAGCTTACAATCCAGATCACAGTATCAAGTAGCTCCAACAACACCTGTGTTGGAAGGGCTGGTCTGCAGCCATTATGCAGGGCATGCACTCATACAAATCTAGATGGAATCCACCACAATGTGTTAAGATGGCAAAATGTGGTGATTAATGGTTTTTACTCAATCTGGAAACCTGCCACAAGTGGGGTCCCCCAGGAACTGACACTAGGAACCACACTTTCAACATCTTCATAAATGATCTGGATCTTGTGTTTGAAAGCACCCTCACTATGTGTGCTGATGACACTACACTGAGTAGTGAGGTGGACACATCAGATGGGAGAATCATCTTACAGAGAGACCTAGAGAGGCAAGAAGAGTGAGCAAGCAAGAACTCTATAAAGTTCTTGTTGAGTAAACTTTACAAAGCCAAGTGCACCTGCGATGGCATTACAAAAGAACCCACCACAGGCTAGGATCTGTGCCTGGGGTGCAGTGTTGCTGAAAGGTATTTTTAGGTCCTGGTAGACAAGATGAATATTACTCAGCAGTGCACCAGTGCTGCAACGAAGACAAATCAAATCATGGGCTTCATCCACAGAGTCATTACTAGGAGAGATAGAGATGTGATCATCTCACCCTACTCACTGGTTGTCAGGCCACACCTGGAGCACTGTTGCAGTTTAACCTGGCAGGCAGCTTAGCACCACACAGCCATTTGCTCATACCCCCTCCCTGCTGGGATCAGGGAGAGAACTTGGGGAAAAAAAAAAAAAAAAAAAAAAAAAGTAAAACTCGTGTGGTAGAGATAAAGACAGTTTAATACAGAAAGAAAGGGGCAAAGAAAACAAAAGAAGTGATGCACAACTCAACTGCTAACCACCAGCCAACACCAGCCAACCAATGCCCAGCCAGTCCCTGAGCAACAGTAGCACCCCTCATAGCCAACTCCCCTCCCAGTTTTATTGTTCAGCATGACATCATGTGGTATAGTAAACTCCTTTGGTTAGTTTGGGTCAGCTGTCCTGTTTGTGTCCCCTCGCTGCTTCTTGTGCTTTTCCAAGCTCCTTGCAGCAAGAGAAGTCTTTGTTCAGTATAAGCACTGCTGAGCAACAACTATAACATGTGCATGTTATCAGCATTATTTTCATCCTAAATCCAAAACAGCACCACACCAGTAACTATGGAGAAACATAGCTCTATCACATCTGAAAACAGGAGAAGTACTGTCCAGTTCTGGTTCCCCCAATTTGAAAGAGATAGGGTCAGATTGAAGAGGGTCCAAAGGAGTGACATGAAGATGATCAAAAAGCTGGAGAATCTGCTGTATGAGGAAAAACTGAAGGAATTAGGTCTTTTCACCCTGGAGAACGCTCTGAGGTCACCTCATCACAGTATTCCAATAGTTAAAGGGTGGCTACAAAGAAAATGGAGGCCTTCACGAGGATCCACGTGGAGAAGACAAGAGGCAATGGGTACAAGTTGTACCAGAAGAGGTTTTGTCCTGATATAAGGAAGTGTTTTGTTGTTGTTGTTTGTTTGTTTTTTTATAGTGAGGTCGATCACTGGAACAATGTCTCTGGGGATATGGTAAAATTCCCATTATTGGAGGTTTTCAAGATGCAATTGGAGAGGTTGCTAGATAATCTCATCTCAGCTTCCTTTTGGACCAGATCATCTTTTGAGATCACTTCTAACATGGGTTATTTTATGATTCTATGATCTGCTCCCAAATATCTCTTTATGGCTCATTTAGAAGCACAAGTAAGTGTCAAGGAAACCTGGAACTGAACCACTACAGAATTAAAAAGATCTTAAAGGTGCAGAAAGGCAACTATTCAGCATGCATTCAGAAACACTTACACTTTCAGAGATGCTAACCTAACACCTTTCATTACTAAGTATCAAGCAGCACTATAAATTATGTGAGATCTCAGGTTCCTATAAGAAAACATGAAAATATATGTGGCTGCACATTCTACATATGTAAAGGTCAGTTTAGATCTAGTAGCCTGAGAAGCATAACTGCATAGAAAATCATTTTTGTGTTCATCTGACTGGACCTGGCATCCATCTATTTTACAGATTTGGGAAAAAAAATGTACAGAAGAGCAGCATACACAATAAAATGTATTTACGTTTTAAGCATCATGAATTTCAATTTAGTAAAGTAATTACTTAAAAAGTGTTTCTAGCAAAATAAAAAAATGACTTACATTTCACTAACACAAAATCCCTGAATTCCTGGTGATTTGTAAACACAGGGGGGGATGGAAGTGGAGGTCCAAAGAGAGGAACACTTTCTTCTGAAAATATTTTCAGCCTATTGAAAGAACAAGTATTTATCTGTATTCAAAGCCATGTTCAAAAACCACCGTTTTTACAGACAGGAGAAAGAACTGGAAACAGTTATCTGGGTATGTCTAAGGTAAGAATTTCCACAGGTCTAACAAAAAACAAGCAAACAAACAAACGAGCAAGCAAACTCACTCATAAATGGGCATTCATTTGGAATGAATTGCTTGAACCAAAATTCTGAATCCTTTACATAAACACTGGGACAGTAACAATTACAACAGAAGCCTGTGATTCTATTCATAGAATAATGCTGTTAATGGTATTGGCAAAATCTAGTCCTTTTCAAAAAAGCTGTAAAAGAATAGTTCTTCACCTACAAAACATATTCTCCTTACAGATTTCCACCTTACCTGTGCATTCACCACAGTTGTGAAAGATGTGATTCTTTTTGAGTAACACCAGAAACACCAAACTTTTACTGATAATTATCAACTTTTGGAGCTAGGCAATATGGTTTAATTAATGCAGTATCTTTAAGATAAAAAAGGTTCAGGTATCTGTCTTGCAGAAAAAAAAACAACAAACAAAAAAAATGGATTCATAGATGACTATAAAGATAGCTCAGCCTATGAAGAATAAAAACACCTTCTAAAGTAATCCAGAAATTATGATGTTAGAATAATGTGATCAGATCTGAGCAGCAGCTTCTGAAACCATGGACCACGGATGGTATCTGTGGTCTATACCGTGCATGGAGGAAGAGGCTAAAAGAATGCCTTCCCTCAACACTTTAACTGTATTTCTTAGCTGTCAGAATGAGGTTGGTTGTTCAAAAAAGGACTACTGCCAGGTGATCAGTATAAGGCATACTGTTGGTCTATTTCACAAGCTGCCTGAATCCTTATAGTTATGGAATTTTCAGGAAAGGAGGAAGCAAAACCAATCTACCTAATGACTGTGTTGATTCTTGGAAGCCATATCTCCCTGTACACAGCTTCTTTCTTTCCTCTACAAGCTAACTGATACTTCACACAAAGTAGCAAACCCAGCATGGTCCATCTTCCTCTTGGTCTTGCAAATGTGGGATATAATGATTTATAAACAAACAGTTTAAAATTTTGCTAAATAACTATTGAAGTCACACATGGTGACACCATCATTAGGAGTCTGCATTCACAATCTAAGACACTAAGTTCTCCCTTCCATCTTGCAAAGTTTTTAGCTCTGAATTAGTGTTATAGACGCACACATGCATTCCAGTTTGAGGCATAATTTTAGTTTCATGCCCCAAAATCTCCCGTCTAGTGCTAGATAAACCAAATATTTTGATTTCCTAATAGAATTTCTTTAGCCATGATAGACTTCAGCATCTGAGCTTGCAGTGTCCTGTCCTCAGACATATCTGAAAGTGAATGCAATCCTCCTTTTTTTTTTTTGACCTAGTCTAAATAGTAAATGATGTAGCAGTTTCAATAAAAGAGGGATTAGTACAGACATTGCTACTACTTTGTAAAGCAGAAATAACAGTGCAAAATCTGTGTCCTATGCTGCCAAATGCAGTACACAAACCCTCCCATGGGCTCAGACAAATATCCCTCTGCAATTCTGCTTTTTCAAGACTGACAGATATCTCTGGCATCTCACCATTAACCTCAGGACAATAGCTGGAATGGTTTATGTGGTAAAAGCCACTTTGTTCATTTGTAACACATTTACGTGACAAGGTTTTGGTAGTGGGGGACTGCAGGGGTGGCTTCTGTGAGACGAATGCAGAAGTTACCCCATATTACGTAAGGGCAGGTTTCAGCCAGCTCTCCAAAGGGACCCGCCCCTGCCCAGAGCCAAGCCTATATGTTGTTTGCATCTCTGTGAGAGCAATTTTAAGAAAAGGGAAAAAAAGATGCTGCGCAATAGCATCTGGGAGAGTGAAGAATAAGAAACTGCCTAGCAGACAACAAGGTCAGTGAAGAAGGACAGGGAAGAGGTGCTCCAGGCACTGGAGCAGAACTTCCCCTGTGGCCTGTGGAGAGGACCATGGTGGAGCAGGTTGTCCCTGGCAGTCCATGGCATACCACAGTAGAGCAGATTTCCATGCTGCAGTTCGTGGAGGAGGCCACGGTGGAGCAGGTGGATCTGCCCCTAAGGAGGCTACAGCCTGTGGAGAATCCCTGCCAGAGCAGATTCCAGGCCAGAGCTGCAGCCCATGGAGAGGGGACAACACAGGAACAGGTGACCAAGCAGGAACTGCTGCCTGTGGGGGACCCATGTCTGAGCAGTTTGTTCCTGATGGATGGACCCTGTGGTAAAGACCCATATTTGGAACAGTTCTTGAAGAGCTGCTTCCTGCAGGAAGCCCATGCAGGATCAGTTCAGGAAGGATGGCATCCCATGGGAGGGATCCCAGGTTGGAGCAGGGGAAGAGAGTGACCGTGAAGGAGTGGCAGAGGCAAAGTGCTATAGACTGACTACCGTTCCCCTGTGCCATTTGAGGGGAGGAGGTGGGAGAGGGTGGATGGGGGGAAGGTGTTCTTAGTTTGTTTCCTTTGTTTCTCATTTCTCCATCTTGCTAGTAACAGGCAATAAACTCCTCTGTCTCCCTACACTGAGTCTGTTTTGCCCGTCGCAATAACTGTTGAGTGATCTCCCTGTCCTTATCTCAATCCTTGAACCCTTTGCATCATATTTTCTCCCCCTTTCCCTTTGAGGAGGAGCGGTGAGAGAGCTGCTGTGGTGGAGCTCAGCTGCCCACCTGAGTAAAACCACCACATTGTTAAAGCCTACAGAATGCTAGAATGCCAGAATGCTTGCTGTTCAGGTTCTGATGAGAGCTAACAGACTCAGACTTGGACAGCACAGGACTCTATGCGTGAGGGTCCCACAGCTAACTGAAAAATATATTATTTGCCACCAAAATTTCCCTAGGTTTTAAGTATGTGATGATCAACTGTACATCTCTAAAGTATCTTGAAGATCCCTACAAATGAGCTGGTTTGCTTAGCTACAGCTGAACCCGGACCAGTAAAGATCCACTCCACAGCTATCACAGCATCAAGTCTAATTAACTTTCATCATACAGGTAGTTCACTATATCATTGATCTCATCAGATCAGAATCTTGCAGACATATCTTCCACCACTTTTTACATTTCATCTAAAGAGTACTTTCGTTTTGCCCCCTTAGCTTATGACTGTATCAGAATTTCATTATTCTGATTGTTAGAAACACATAGCTTAGAGCCCATTTACAGTTCTCTGCATCTAGATCCATACTGTCTTCCAATTTTAAAAGTTCATTAGGCTTCCAGGCATATAGGCAGGTAGACAACACAAAATATTTTCCCATTACCTCTAAACGATCAGAAATTAAGTATGAAATGATTAGTTACAATCAGAACCTACCTGTAACTATCATTCTGCTTATTATATCTCACCAAGGCAAAAATATCTGTCATCCAGTTAAGAAAATTAATCCAGTACTAATAAAGCTCACATATATCTTAATCTGTTCCTGCAACAGATTTAATAGTAGTCAAGCATAATAATAAAGACAAAATATTCCAGACCATACATTTTACTATTAAAAAAGGGGTCAATTTAAAAAATTGAACTACTACCACAAATGCATACAATGCATGCTTGTTGCTGTTATATGAAGCATAAAGTGTGCTATATAGTTCTGCCTTTCATGTGCATATTTTACAGATTTGAGATTAAAAATTCTTTTAGGTGACCAGAAAAGAAAAGAAAAAAAAAACACAAAAAATGATTCCTAGCTTCTCTTATGCCAAAACTCCCACTGAGGAAACATAATCCCACAAAATAATTTTGCTATCAGAGTCGTAAGAAAATAAAGTGAAAGATGTAAACTGGGAATATACAGAAATATATTTAAGATGCTTGAGAGTATACTCTCTAGACTCTAGCTAGCACTCCAAAAGATCTTCTGTAAGCCCTAAATCATGTAAGCCAGACTTGCACAGACATTTCAGGTACATTGGGACATCTGAACTGACACTAGCTGCCTTTATTTGATTAATTCAATCCTAATCTACCTGTGTCATTGCTATATAGGACAGCACACTGAAATATCTGCATATTTAACTTTTCCCATTGTAGAAGCAACAAAAAGGGGATGCTATAGTATGCAAGAAGGTGAGTAGAAAGTGGTAGAGCAAATTAAATAAGTTTTGACGCATAAGTTTACACATTTCACACAGACCAGGCCCTGTATTTTTATGGACACCTTTATCCCTGGCTCCTCTTAACTGAAAACATCAGGAAGGTGATATGACTCTGTGGACCACCTGTGTATTACTTACAATGACCTGAACAAGTCTGTATGGATATAGGACGCATCCTGAAATGGCAGATGTTAGGTACATTTCTCAATAAGGCCACTCAGTAGAAGAATCATGTACCTCAGGGAAAGAGAAATCTCTTTATAGGCCAGACCTTTCAAAAAGTTTTCCAGGACCATTTTTCTGGTGCTGAGTAACACCACAGCACTGGAATATTCTGATCAGTGTTTTCCATTCATCAGCTCATTTATTCCGCATCACCTTCAAGATGTTTAACATCATTGTCAGCAAAACGGACAGTGGAATCGAGTACTCTGTTAGCAAGTTTGCTGATGACACCATGCTCTGTGGTGTAGTCAAGATGCTGGAGGGAAGCAATGCTATCCAGAGGGATCTGGACAGGCTTGAGAAGTGGGTCCGTGTGAAACTTGTAAAGTTGAACAAGGCCAAGTGCAAGGTCCTGCATCTGGGCTGGGGCAAATCCCAAGACAAATACAGGCTGGGTGGAGAATGGATTGAGAGCAGCCTTGATAAGAAGGACTTGGGGGTGTTGGTTGATAAGAAGCTCAAAATGAGCACTTGTAGCCCAGAAAGCCAACCATAAAATAGTTTTCCCTTCTCTAAGCAGCATGTAAGAGGGATTAGGGTAGAATTAGAAATAATAATATTATTCAAAAAAAAAAAAAAGTACATATGTAAGAAAAAAGATACGTGTAAAATGAGAGCGAATCATGGACGGCTTGAATGCTGGAGAAGATTCTTCTCCTTCCTGAAATACGATAGTGACAATGTCATTTCCAATATGCCGCTTCCTTTCTACCTGAAAGAAAAAAAAAGAAGGAGAGAAAAAAAAGGAAAGAAAGACAAATAGGAAGGAAAAGGCAGACACAAGGATTTAAAGGAGATCAACATTCTATGACAGAACCCTGAAACAACAACTCCTAAGCTGTATGCAGCTCAGGAAATGCCAGTCTTAAGAAAATGTATCATAAGTATGATTGAAGACAATATAAATTACTAACTACAATTAAGTAAACTTAGCAATGTCATGTTGCACTTACAAGGCAGCTGCTAAAAGCGTAGCTATTTTTTTTCTTTCCTTTCCTTTTTTTTTTTTTTTTTTAAGTTAGAATAGATAATTTCCAAATATTAATATTCACAAATAGGGCATGGAACACATAATATTCCAAAAAAGAAAATCCACCACTTGAAATAAAAGGATAAAAACACCAATCCTATTATTCCTTAAAAACAATAAAGGTACTCTGAATTCTGCTGTGATCTTGTCACCCAAGGCAAAAACATGAGAAAACTGTCATGGAAATAAAAAAATAAGACATATAATCTAATTATATGATTATAATAGTTGCCTAAAAGACTAATAAAACAATTTGTGAGTAATTTTAGATAAATCATTATGGATGTGCTTATAAAGTGTTGTGTTTTTGTTTTTTTTTTAATCCTTCATAAAGGTTCAAGCAATGGATGAGAGCATATTTGAACAAGCACCCCAAGAATCCACCTAGTCCATCTATGAGAGGGCAACAGCAATGCTTTACAGCAAATGCACAGAACTGGTCATTAACATGTTCACAAGCAGAGTTTCTTTCAAGCTACATTAATTACTACCTGAGTATGAGTTGTATGTTATGCATGTGCATATTCTGATAATTCAGAATTAAGTCTAATTTCCAGCCTTCATAAATTCTTTGAAGGCAGTGACAACTGCAGCAGTGAAGTTCTGCAAGTCATCTGAGTACCGGACTATTTAGTAATTTTAAAATTAATTAAATTTGAAATTCTTCACAGAAGTCTTAAGACTTATATTTCTAAAATATTAACAGGCAAGAAGATTCCCTATTTTATTTTAAGATGTTTTGGAGTTTGTGATTAACTACACTTAAAAAAAAAAAAAAAAAAAAAGGGAAGGGGAAGGGGGAACCATGTACCTGCTGCTTGTTCTCTCTAGAATATGGCAGCATGGTTGAAACATGGAACATAATTTCATGCCCTTGATAAACTGTATAGATGGAACAGGTTCCTGTTGTATCATCTGCAAAGGAAAACAAGATTCTTAGTAGGAATGTATCCTTTAAGTTTTCTAAAGATTAAAAGATATTTCAGGTCTTTCTACAAAACTTTCTTTAGTCATCCCTTTTTCTGACCAATTTTAGAACATGTCCATGCTGCATGTTTTTGCGTAGATGTCTAAATCTGAGCGTGCAACTTAGTCTGCATATTCCCATAGCTAAAACCTATTACATCCTTCACCTAACTTCCTAAAATCACATAGGGACATTCAAACCGTGATGCCTTACTGTTATGAAACAACTAATATCTCAGGTTATTCTTCACTCCCTTCCAACATAAAATGAAACGTTCACCTTAAAATACAAGTTATGTATCTTCTCTTCCACTGCATTACATACCAGTGATTTAAGCTAACCTGCTTAACTGTTTCCACGTAAAGCACAGCATTTAGCATGCATGTGAAAAAGTTTTTGGAATCATATTATTTCTTCAACAAGTATTATGCACATGCAGTAAGCAAAATCTTTTATATTGTAGCCCCTGCTTCTTTGCCTCAGCTGAGTTCTTACTTTTTGTGTCCAGTCCTCCTCTGTAGCCTGTCCAGCCTTTCAAAGTAATTGTGTCGCCCAAGAGATGCAAAAATCTTTGAAAGCTCTCACTTCCAGTTTCTATACATGGAAGGGAGAAATGTTACAAAAACAAAGCACATGTAGTAATAGAACACCTACCAATGACTGATTAAAATACAGGAACAGATCCTGCCTTCAGGACATAAGGATTAGAGTTTAAGCTGAATTAGCTTCTTCTCATGTCATCCAGGCTTTCTACCCTTACAGAAACAGCATCCCAGCCTTGCAGAATGGCAGAAAAAGGATCATCATGTGACATTAAACAATGATCTCTTTTGCTAACTCCATAACACTGTTCAAGTGCATAGAAGAATGAGATCACAAAACCTGAAGAATGAAAGAACTAGGAACAGTGACTTCTTGCAGGTAACAAGAGTCACCTCCTTCAACTGCTTTTTTTTTTTTTTTTTTTTAATTTAAATCTTACTTTGTACAGTCTATTTCTAGAAAGAAAATTTCATCATTTTCCAAGCTGTGATATTAGGTTTCCTACAGCAACCTTTCATAGAAATAGAATATTCTTTTCTACAGTGTTTCCACCCAATATGAACACAAAAACCTTACAAAACTACTGTTAACATAATCATTATCCACTATCTGGCTTCCATGTGCTTGGTATATGAGCAGTATCCTTATATTTTTAATGGGATGAATAAAAAATTAAGGAAAAGGTAAAAACTCACCATTGCTGAACATTTCATCATCTGTAAGCTGCCCATCCTTAGCATAAAGGACTCCAAATTTAAAATTCACAGATCCCTAAAAAATAAAACTAAAGATTATAAGCTAAACAGGCAAAAGACCTAAACTAATGCTTTCTCTATACATCCTGCATATGTGAATATATATCTCACACCAACCCCATTACATGCACAAATAACAAGAACCTAATATTTTACCTTTGATTATAGACTATGAATTGTATAATATACTTTTTATACTGGTGTTTAAAATGATTTTGGATTGCATATATTGAAAAATAATACTACATTTTTTTATTGCAATAAGCAATCGACTGTGAAGTCGTTACAAAGGTATCAGTGCAAATATAACAAATACAGCTATATTCTTTGAACTATGAGCTAGGAGTGGTAAGCTTACATTTACCTCTTGCTCCTCAAGAACCAATAAATCCTGCAAATAAAACAGTTTGTTTAGCACTCTGGCATTAAAGGCAACACAAATAAAACGATTACATCCTTGTGTATTTAAGTTTTGCTTTGAAGTGGCCAGTTCAACTGATAAACAAAGTTTACTTTTTAAACCCCCTAATCCTCATTATTATTCTGCTGAAACAAAGGAACTAGTAATATTTATGCTTAATGATTTATTTTCCAGAAAATAATAAAGAAAAACAGCTAAGCAAAAGAAGAAATCACCACTTACCTTTTGTATCTCGGGATGAAAAATTTCCCTTGGGCTCTTCTCAAATTTCTCAAGACTCATAGCACTGAGATGTAAACAAAATACTGTGTAATAGAAAGACTAGCATACATTTCAACATTAAAGCACTAATAGTTGCAGTTAGAACTGCTTACAAGAGGAATTGTTCAAAGGCCCTGTCTTACAGGGAATGTATTGTAGAATCAAAGAATGGTTTTGGTTGGAAGGGACCTTAAACATCATCTAATTCCAACCCCCATGCCTTAGGCAGGGACACCTTCCACTAGACCAGGTTTCTCAAATCCCCATCCAACCTGGCCTTTAACACTTCCAGGGATGGGGCATCCACAACTTTTCTGGACAACCTGTTCCAGTGCCTCACCACTCTCTGAGTAAAGAATTTATTCCTAATATCTAATCTAAATCTACCCTCTTTTAATTTAGAGCCATTACCCCCTGTCCTATCACTACACTCACTGACAAAGAGTCCCTCTCCAGCTTTCCTGTAGGCCTCCTGTGGTACTGGAAGATCGCTATAAGGTCTCCCTGGAGCCTTCTTTTCTCTAGGCTGAACAATCCCAACTCTCTCAGCCTGTCTTTGTAGGAGAGGTGCTCCAGCCCCTTCATCTTTGTGGCCCTCCTCTGGACTCGTTCTAAATACTTTTATGTCCTTCTTGTGCTGGGGGCCACAGAGCTGAATGCAGTGCTCCAGGTGGGGTCTCACAGGAGTTGAGTAGATGGGGGAGAATCACCTCCCTCAACCTGCTGGCCATGCTTATTTTGGTACATCCCAGGATATGGCTGGCTTTCTGGGCTGTAAGTGTACATTGCCAGAATCATCATTTCTTTTCCACAGTGCTAATCTCCAAGACTTCCCAAATTTCTGCATTTTAAGTACAGAAACTATTAAAACCCTGCATGGATGTCAAGATTAAATTTACACCTGTTTTACAATTAATTTGAAAATAGTCCCTCTGCCAAAGAAATGTTCTGAGAATCTTTGTCCATTCTACATGTAAATCATCACTTTTTCTACTCCAGGACAGGCACTAAAAGCACATTTTTCCCGTCCTCAGTGATTAAGATTTGTAAACCTTTTTTTGTAGTTTTTAAAATAATGAAAATCGTGCAACACAAGCTCCGAATTCCAGGGAGAAAAGATACAGACAAGTCTCTTAACCCATAGTTTATTTGTAAATACATACCTCAATATAGATTTCACTGATAATGTTTTTGTGGGACTGTAAGGGAGACATATTTTCTGAGTACCCTATAAAGGGGGAAAAATTACAGAAAAATAGAAGACATTACAGGACATATTGACATTCTCTATACATTAAAATAGGAATACTGATAAAAACAATTACGTAAAAAACAAAGATCAAGACCATGTTAGTTTTACTTAGTCATATTTACTACCGAATTAAAAAACAAACAAACAAACAAACATGAAAATGCATAGGATGGTGCAAAATTATTTTAAAATTAGCTTTTACTACTCTGCCATATAGGAACTTAAAAGGAAACTCACAGTCCAATACCGGGCATTAGGAAGACTGTTGAAACTAGTAGACATAACTATTTCTTTTCTAAAAAAAATGTGAACTATGCATGTGTACTAAACAATATTAAATTAATTGCTTAGATAAAGGTCATTACGGAAAGCTAAGTGAAAAGAAAATCCTAAGAAGATATTAGTGAAACCAGTATCGCATTTGGCTATTTTCTTATCACTGTATAAAAATATCAGTAAATCAGTACTATATCACAGCTTAAACTCATCACAGGATATAAATCAAGAACAATTTAGGCAACATTTTTAAAAAACAATGCAGAACTGCATGTAAGAACAATTAGAAATACCTTGCATCGTACATTTCTGTCATAAAGTTAAGTATACTGTTATCTACTAAGCTAGTTTATCCACTAGGATAGAATTCTATGTTCTCATATAAAAATGAAATCTCCATATACTAAATACCGAAATTCTGAAGAAGCAAAAAAGTCTGTGGTGAATGCATACAAAACAAGCAAGCAAGCAAACAAACAAAAAAGGCAGAGCAGCAATTAAGTATTTGTTTCTTACTGTTTTTCTCCAAAGAATTGAATGGTATTGGGGAACACGCTGATTATTTTGGTCAGAGAGTACAACGGACAGAAAGAAAGGGTTCTTCTCTGCATCTGTACCTATGTAATTCTGATGAACTGTTAGAGAAAAATAAGTGTAAAGAAAACACACACAGGTTTACATGAGAAAATATATACTTATCTGTATATAAATATATAGGTATGTAGATACGTGTAAAAGACAAGAGACAGGTATAGACTTCAAGGCCTAGAGGGGCTTCTGTTTGTTTTCTGTTTGGTAGCATGGGTTCTGCTGCTTACAGAACACCATCCTCTGTCTTCAAGTTAAAAATACATTAAACAAGAACTTGCGTTGAGTACAGGGCAAAAATGTGTTAGTATTACATTAACGTCATTTTTCCCCATATTTAAATACTTGCAATTCAAAGCTACATTGCTTTTGCATTGAACAAAACTTCAAATACATTCACAAAAACATTAATACCTTTTCCTAAAAAATATTTGAAATACCATCTTGTATAATATTCTGGATTTTCCAAATGCACATCTGTTCTGTGCCATGTTCCTGGAGTGTAGTCTGTATTCTGAAACAGAATTGGGAGACTGCAGATCAAATGCTGAAGAAAAAAACCGAGGACATAATAATAGAGGGAAAAGTCAAGCAAGCGTGGCAAGAAGAATTTTAGTTGTATACTTTATAAACAGATGATCTGTAACAGTTTATGCTTAATATTAGTTCAATACAAGTTTGCCAAGACCTGATGTACATTTCTAGACTATGAAGTTTTATTTCTTCAAGCATTAAATTGATATTTATAGCTAGAAATGTTTTACAAAGGAAGATAACTCCCGTCCTCCATTTAAGGAGAAATCTAAATATCACTGTAGTGGTTAAGGGGGCACACCATGAGATTAACAGCACAGGAATCTGGAATGAGTGACTCTTTCAGGCACCATTCAGCTTCTTCATCTCTCATTTAAAAGATGAGCATAGCTGCCTAAACACATATAAGAGTTAAAAAAAAAAAAAAGCTATAAACTCATCACACTCAGTAACAAACTTAAAATCACAAAGGTTAGCTTGAACACTATAGTATCATCAAGACACCAATGTAACAAAGTGAACTAGTCTGCAAAGTGCTATTCAGAGAATAACACTTTTTTTCTTTTAACCAGATCAAATGAGCAAAATATCACCAAAACTAAAATAAATATAATCTCTGTCCTTAAAAAGTAAATTGTCAAGATTTTGTACTTTTGAATTAAAACCTTAGACTTGAGAGTAAAAGCCCACCATCTCCATACTCTCAGATTCTTATATTCTCATATTATCTAATGTTTTTAAGACCAGTACCCTAGTAATTGACTGTAAATCCATCTTTCAGTTGTGAAGAGTAACTGAAACTGATCTATTTTTTGTTTTCTATGAGTATATGTAGCCACTTACCTCATTAGAGGAGCCATTTTCCACACGGAATCTTCCAGCTCTTTGGATGGCTCCATCAGCATCACTAGATATAAGCTATGAGAGAGCTTAAGATAAATGTTCTAGTTCCAAAGACACCCATATGATCAGCAAACAAATCTTACATGGTTTCTCCTTCTCCCAGGTGTCATACCACTACCCATAGGGACGGTATGAACTCATCTATTACCAATTTGACTACAGATTTGGAATGACCCAATTATAACTCTAAGAATGTGTGAGTGTGAAAGCTGTACTTTCTTCTGGTATATCCAGTGCTAATCAGAAATTCTCCTGTCTCAGGTTTTGGCTACACCAATGTGCAGAATGCATACAGAGGTACATGCCACCTTCCAGAAACTGATCTTCAAGTTCACTCCTTTTCAAACAATGGCTCTTACGGACATGTTGATTCTAGTCCTCTCAGCTTTGCTATGTTTAAAACCCTACTTGCTCATAGTGTCACTGTGACTAGCAGTCTTTTATTGCATTTATTACATTTTTTTGTGTAAGTTCTCAGAAGATAGAAAGCAGTAATAATCTCTAAACGTAATAGTCAGTGATGATACTGAACATTTTGAGGTATACTGTTCAGTATATCCTGCTCTGCTTCCTGCATTTACATCAGAAAATATGGCTTGTTTTGATTTGAAGACTTCTAGAGTTTCATAAATATTCTGGGAAAGGCTGCCTGGTCTTTCTATAAGGGAATCCAGTGATTTCCAGAAGACAAACTCCTTTTGTTGCTAAAAAAAAAAAAAAAAAAAAAAAACAACTCATGAAAAGTTAACAGCACAAATATAACATGACATTTTTTCTTGGGTTCAACAACATTGTTTGGGATCCATAAAAAGCAGCAGAGAATGTTTTTTTTCCCCTCAAAGATCAGTTGGAAATAATACTACATGCTGCTCCTCTAAAAACTGTAAAAAGAGATTGTCACATATTATACCAAACTTTAGAAATAGGATCTGAACAACAATAATGCAGTAGTATACCCTTTCTCACTTCCCTCCAGCAATCCATGTTATTAAATGACAATACTTTCTCCCTTTGCTTGGTGGAAGAGTTATCGGAATGTTTTGTTCTCTTTGCCCCTTCCTTTGAAGAGATCTGAGACTACGTCAGGAATAAGCTAACAAGGCAAGAACTGCAACAGACCCAGTATGAACTGTAAGAGAAACCATAGGGACAACTGGTCATAGCAGACCAGTAGGAAGGACATAGGAGAAACCATTTAGGGCTGAGACAAAACGAACAGGTTATAATAAATAAAAGACAGAAATCATTGAGCAATAGGGATGCCGTTGATGAAAATACTAAGGAATTAAATATTTATAAACTTACGAGGGCAAACACCTTTTTACATTTGTATTTCAAAAGATAAAGGGAGTATTTGGCTTACACGGCAACGTTTTGATAGTAGGGGCAGGGGGGCTGCGGGGATAGCCTTTGTGAGGAATCTAGCAGCTGCTCTCTGTTAGAGAAGGGCCAGTTCCAGCCAGCTCTAAAAAGGACCCACCACTGGTCAGAGCCAAGCCATGAGTGACACAAGTTGCGTCTGTGGGAAAACATATTAGAGAAAGGGAAAAAACTGCTGTGCAACAACAGCTGGGAGAGAGTAGTGAGCAACTGAGAAAGAAAGAATCCTGAAGACACCAAGGTCAGTGAAGAAGGAGGGGAGGAAGTGCTCCAGGCACCACGGCAGACATTCCCCTGAAGCTTGTGGCAAGGAACACAGTAGAGCAGGCTGTCACCCTGCAGCCTGTGGTATATCACAGTGGAGCAGATCTCCATGCTGCAGCCCATGAAGGACCATGCAGGAGCAGATGGATCTGGCCGTAGCTGCCACCTGTGAGGGACCCATGCTAGAACAGTCTGGCCCTGAAGGACTGCACCTGATGGTACAGACCCACATGGGAGCAGTTCTTGAGGAACTGTAGTCTGTGGGAAGCCCACGTAGGATCAGTTCAAAAGGACTGCATCCCACAGCACAGACACTACACTGGACCAGGGGAAGGACCTTGAAGGACCAGCAGAGATGAAGCATTATGGACTGACCACAAACCCTATTCCCCTGAACCACTCAATGGGAGGAGACAGAAGAGGCTGGGGGGGGTGGAGGTGGTGGGAGGTGGAAGGTGCTTTTACTTGCTTTTAGTTCTCATTGCTCTAGTATGTTATCAATAGGTAATAAATTACATTAATCTCCCTTATACTGAGTCTGTTTTGCCTGTGACAGTAATTGGCGAGTGATCTCTCCCTATCCTTATCTCAACCCAAGAGCTTTTCTTTCTTCATCATACTTTCTTCCTCTGTCCTTCTGAGGAGGTGGAGTGTGAGGGCAGTGTAGTTTAACTCATCGCTTGTTAAACTACCATACATGCTTTCATAAAATACTAGCAGAATTTTAAGAAAACCAATCACAAGACAAGACTGCTTGTATGAGGTTACAGTGAATTTATAATTACCAATATATTTCTTTTTTCCAGCTAAAGAACCAAAATACTGGGAATGAAAGTGCCTCTTACCACAAAGTGTTTCACTTGCCTTTTTGATTAAAATACCATCTCTAATACATGAAATGCATGGAAAGTGAAGATAGGTACCTGGTGTTCTTGTAATTGAAATTCCAGAAACTAAGCCACCAATTGAAATCATTTATATTTATAAATACACAAGCCAAGATCTTGAAAGTACAACCATAGTTAAAAGAACATTAACGATTTCTTCCTGTAGCAACAGAGCTGAAGTTTACTTTTTGTGCCCCTCTACACTTATGCATATTTCATTATACTTGATATACATGATATTATTTTAACTCTTGACATAGAAGAAATAAATAATTCACAGAAAGAATTTCTACATTAGAGAACAAAACAAAAAAAAAAGAAGTGCTGAGCTAATCTTTGAAGAAAATTCAGAAAAACTAGCAGATTTCAGGAAACAGATTTTTCAATATTCTTATGTTGCCGAGTTCTTTTAATTTTACACCCTTTCCCACTACTCAGGGGCAAGTACACATAAAATGACATACACATGCCAACACATGAGCATGGATACAGTTTTTAACTCAGATCACCACAAAAGCTTCATCAAATATAGCCCTAACATTTCACAATCTTCAGCTTATAGAAGGAAAAAAGGCTCAATTTCCATCTTCCTGAATCAACTGGGGTAAACAAGGTATTTATATAATATCTTTTGTCACATGAAGATGAAAGATTCATAAATAAGGTTGTAAAAATATTTCCGAGCACACATCTAATTTAGGTAATCGGCAGCCTCTTTTTATTACTCTAAAATTTTCAAGTCCAGCTTAGAGAGCACATCTTCCAAACTAACTTGGAATTTTTACCTGGAAACTAAAAGTATTTGCACTTTGCATTATACAGTGTTTAAATTAAAGGATGGGCAAAGTAAACTTACAAGCTCCACAGATCCATAGTGCTTTCTGCTAAACTCTCCACGTCTGCAACCCAGATCTTCAGATACAGAACTGGAATAGAAACATTTCATCAGTATACACAGTCATTTTAGCCTTAGATCTCCTGCAACACTACATGCTGCCATTACCAATATCATTCCTGCTGAATGAGGTTTGCAGTGCATAAGCTTGTTGCTGCAATGAACACTCCTTACAATGTGCTCGCTCTAGCCATTGCAGTCTGGTGTTCATCCTATCAGCCAAAGGAAAAGAAATGTCTGTGTCTTGACTGAAAGCAAAAACTATGATTAAATATCTAGTCATAATGGAACCAACACAGAGTTCCACTTAATAAACTTTGCTTAGTATGTTGCTGATTTTTTTTTCTTCTCCAGAAAGTCTCTCTTTAGACTACACACAATAAAACAATTATTTCAATTCAAAAGCAGAAAGCAGGAACAGCATTTCATAGATTTCCCCATCCCATAACACTGACAAAGACAGAATTGTCAGGTAAGCAAAAGGAAGCCTCAAACACCACATTCAAAATCTACATGCATTATCACTTATAATTTTATACCATCGTGTCCCATTAAGCACATCAGCATGTGTTTCATAAGCTCAAAACAGATGGCAAATAGCTCTGCTAGCTATAAACACCAAGCTTCTCAAATTTATAATCGAAGTCTTAGCAGTAGATGTTACAAATACAAGCTAAATAAAGATTTAGATGCAAATATAAAATAAACCTTTATTACCTTGTCTAGCAGCTGGGTAGACAATCAACTAAGTCACTCCCTCATATTACAAACTCAGAGTTCACCACTACGTCAGCCTTAATGAAGATAACACCTTTTTTTTTTTTTTTTCCCACATTAAAATTAAATGGCAGTAACCCTGCAACTAGCAATAAGGGATTAAATTTTCTGAGAATGGTAAGTACCGTAAGTTGTAACATTACATCAGTACACAGAAGAAATACTTGAATTTTAATTCAACACCCTCATACTTGGTTCTTGACTGTAAGAGATACTGTGACACTGGAACGCTGAAATATCTTGATTTTTAAACAGCTTTTCCATTTGGATTTGTACTTATAGGTACTCAGAATTTATTAAACATGATTGATAATTCTGAGTTCTGTTTATTTGGATTCCGTATCTTCAAACAAGGAAGAGAAATAGAAACAAGACGCATCTAACAAAACTTTAAAACTCACGAAAATAATTTTGTGTTTGCTATTATTACACTTATTACTCTTTCCTATACAATGATAAGTAAAAATAAGATTTACGTAAGTTACAAATGAGCCACGACTGGAGTCAGTTCCAATGAATAAGATTACTTCAGGATGCTACATATTAATGCCCCGGAGATAAAATTAATTGCTAAAAAAAGCTTCAAAAATAAAATATAAAAAGAGCATTCAAAGAACATCTTGGGTTGGAAGGGACCTTTAAGATCATCTAGTTCCAACCCCCATGCCATGGGCAGGGATGCCACCCACTAGATCAAGATGCCCAGGGCCTCATCCAGCCTAGTCTGGAACACCTCCAGGGATGGGGCATCCACAACTTCTCTGGGCAACCAGTGCCTCACCACCCTCTGAGTGAAGAATTTCCTCCTAACCTTTAATCTAAATCTCCCCTCTTTTAATATAAAGCCATTCCCCCTTGTCCTATCGTTACCAAACAAAGCGGGAATTTGTTCTCCATCTTTTTAAGTCCCCTTGAAGTACTTAAAGGTTGCAATAAGGTCACCCTGGAGCCTTCTCTTCTTTAGGCTGAACAGCCCCAGCTCTCTCAGCCTTTCTTCACAGGAGGGGTGCTCCAGCCCTCTGATCAGCTTTGTGGCCTTCCACTGGACCCATTCTAACAGATCCACATCCTTGTACTTGGCCTTCTGGGCTGCAAGCGCACGTTGCTGGCTCGTGTCAAGCTTTTTGTCCGCTAGAACTACCAAGTCCTCTGCAAGGCTGCTCTCAATGAGTTTTCCCAGTCTCATGTCTGGGATTTCCCTGACCCAGGTGCAGCACCTTGCACTTGGACTTGTTGAACCTCATGCGGCTCAAATGGGCCCACTTTTCTAGCTTGTCCAGGTCCCTTTGGACGGCATCCGTTCCCTCTTTGGTATCAACTGCACCACTCAACTTGGTGTCATTGCAAATTTGCAAAGGGTGTACTCGATCCTTCTGTCTATGTTGCTGATAAAGATATTAAACAGTACCAGTCCCAGGATAAACTCTTGAGGGACATCACTCATCAACAGACTCCACCCAGACATGGAGCCATTGACCACCACTCTCTGGGTGCGACCCTCAAGCCAATTCCTTATCCACTGAAAGGTCCACCTTTCAAATCTGTAGCTCTCCAAGCTGAAGATCAGGATGTCATGTGGGACCATGTCAAAGGCCTTACAGAAATCCAGGCAGATGACATCAGTTGGTTTTCCTTTGTCAACTGATGCAGTCACTCCATCGTAGGAGGCCACCAGATTGGTCAGGCATGATTTATGCTTGGTGAAGCCATGCTGGCCCTCTCGGAATAACTCTTTGTCTTGCATGTGCCTTGACATTGCTTCCAGGAGGATCTTTTCTGTGATCCTCCCAGGCACAGAAGTGAGGCTCACTGGTCTGTAGTTCCCCGAGTCCTCTTTTTCTACCCTTTCTAAAAATGAGAGTGATGTTTCCTTTTTCTCCAGTCACCAGAGACTTCACCTGAATGCCATGACTTTTCAAATACGATGGAAAGAGTGTTGTCAACTCTATCCGCCAGTTCACTCCAGACTCTGGGATGCATATAATCAGGCCCCATAGACTTGTACTTGTTCAGTTTCATTACGTGGTCTTGAACCTGCTCTTCGCTTACAGTGGGAGGGTCTTTGCTCCCTCAGCCATCACCCAGAAGTTCAGGGAAACAAGAGACATGGAAAGTCTGACTGGCAGTGAAGACTGAGGTGAAGTTTTTGAATACCTCAGCCTTTTCCAAGTTTGTTGTTACCAGTTCTCACTTCTCATCCATCAGAGGGAGTACACTCTGCTGGGCCTTTCTTTTCTGGCCAATATACCTACAGAATTCCCTCTTGTTATTTTTTGCATCCCTTGCCAAGCTCGGTTCTATCTGTAGCTTAGCTTTCTTCATCCCATTCCTGCACATCTGGATAGCATGCCTGTACTCTTCCCAGGCCACATGTCCCTGCTTCCACTGACTGTGCATTTCCTTCTAGTACCTCAGTTTGACCAGAAGGTCCTTGCAGAGCCATCCTGGTTTTCTCGTTGTTCACTTTCTTACACAGGGGGATAGAGAGTTCTTGTGCTGTAAGGAAAACATTCTTAAAGACTTGTCAATTATATTCAGCTACTTTATCCTTCAGGACAGTGTTCCAGGAGATCTAATCCACTAGGTCTTTAAATAACGTGAAGTTCGCTCTTTAGAAGTTCAGAGTCCTGACTTTTCTCTTTGCCAGGCCCATATTCCTCAAGATCACAAGCTCAACCAGGGCATGGTAACTACAGCCCAGACTGCCTCCAATCCTAACCATCTGTTTTGGGTTTGTCTGCACTGATAATTGGAAATTCAAAAAATAAACATTATATAATTAAGAAATGGTATGCATATACATCACGAGTGCACTAATGTAACAAGGGTACAGGTTGTCAAGGTAAAGGAGGGCAAAATTGAAAGTGAAATTGAATATAAAAATGTAATGCATATATTAATGTATATGCCTATATGCCTGGTACCTAGGTCAAGAGCCTGGGAAGTAATGTCCCAAATACAGAGACCAGATCAGCTCAGACTACACTTCAACAACAAATACTGCACTAACGTTTCCCAGCTAGCGAGTCACAACAAAACAAAAAACAAAGTGAGATGCAGAGTAAGTTCAAATGTTTTTTTTTTTTTTTTTTTTTTTTTTCTCCAACATGGAATAGGTGATTGTCCTCCATATGGTCAGCTGCATGCAACACTGCTTCTAGAAATGTTCTGGAAGCCAACTAGCCCAAAGAACAGTTCACCATGAAGACTACCTGATTTCCATGACAAGGTAGATGTTGAAGGAGACCACCTGATAAATAAACTTACATTTAACCTGCACTTGCAAATACAAAGCTCTTCATGGCTCGTGTGATTCTGTACTCCAGATTCTCAAAACAAAACAACAAAAAAACCCACCACTCTTAATCTAGATAATCCCAGTACTGTTATTTGATTTTTTTTTTTAAGTATTTCCATAATGACAAGCAATAAAATAGCTACCTTTAGGACGCACTGTAAAGTACTGGGTACATCTCATGTTGTTTCAGTTTTCCTTGCCACAGAATGACAGGGAGCAGTGCTGCGCCAGAGTTCAGTCACTGCATGATAGACACAATGATAAGCAGACAATAGCCAGCAGCAGTATACATAAAACAATTAAGAGTTAACACTGTTGCTTTCTGCAAGGACATTGGCAGAGGCTGTGCACCACTCATCATTGGATCTTGGTAGGAGTTACTGTAATACCACTGCCAACCTCTAATAAAACCCCATGGTCACAGACATCCATGTCAATACAGGTGAAAAAAAAAGGAACTGATACGCATGCATGCCTTGTGAGGCATTCTAACCCAAATACCTAAGACCTAACCCTACTAACGGTATAGAGACTCCCAGATGCAGTGAGTGTGGTGGGCATATTCATCAGATTATGTAGAGGAGAACCCCAAAAGCAAGTGAGTTTAATGGGAGAAAAAAAATCTATTTTCTCAGACCATGAAATACGGATGGAAAACACAGACAACCTTAGAAAAAAACAAAGAACAGCTTACACACCAAAAATGTTTATGCTTCTATCCCCTCTACAAACTACTGTGACATAATTTAATAAAATACATTGTTTCACCACAAATTACACCTCTGAATATCAAAGACAGTTCTCTGATACTTTTTCTTTCACTAAAGAATTTCTGCTGCTGAAGGGTAAGAAACTAAGCATCAATAGTTTCAATTCATCAGTCCTACATATACTCATGATAATGAACAGACATTATTTTTATTTTTTCCATCCATAAAAAAAAAATAAAATTAATG